CGCCTGCAGACCGCCCCTACCGCGACGCGCGCCGCTCGTTCCGCGCGGGCTGCGTGATCGGCTTCATGCACGGCGGCCCCCGCGGGCGGCTGCTGCACAACCCCAAGGACGGCGAGCTTGTGCCCGCGGGCAGTCAGCTCGTGTTTGTCACCAGCCTGCTGAGTCATTGGCGCGACTGGCGACCAATGTGCGTCCCACTCACAGACAGCAAGATCAACGTTGACTCCTAGTGTTGACAGCCATCGTCACGCGCGGCTTAGACTCCTACATGGCTTGTAGTTGCCGTTTTTGAATCCCGAGATCACGCACTACATCAAAGCAGCGGTTGTGATGGACACAAGGGTGAATAAATAGCGCTGTTATGACAATGAGAGCGCTTGGGCGGCGCTTAGGTGATCACCCATCCGGAAGTGCATCCCTCTGGCCAATCCAGTGCCTACATAGGTGAGTGCGCGATTGTGAAATGATCACAGAATAGCCACTGTATCTACAATTCTTGTTGTGGGCTGGCAGCAGCGAGGCGCCGTCACTCCCCATGCTCCTGCAGGCGGCGCTTGCTGCTGCTCTGTGTAGCGCAGTGCCATGCTGGCGGCAGCAATCCTGTGCGGGGGCCGTACGCCTGCGAAGCTCAGCAGCCAGTGGTCACTCGCAAGGGGTTGCGTGCAGCAGGCGTGCGTGCATGTCACTCGCGCACGAGGCGCAGCGGGGGCGCCACCGCCCACGCCCTCCCGCCGTCGGACGGCGGAGACGCCCTCGCCGCCTTGGACGCGGCCTTGCTGCAGCAGCTGAGCCAGCCCTCTACCCGCACCACGGACGAGCCCGGTCATGGGTCCCAGCGCGCGCTCGCGCCGCGGCTGCTGGCCGGCGGCGACTCTGGCGACGACAGCGGCGACGATGCCGGCGCCCCAAGCAGCGGCGCTGCGGCGCGTGCTCGGTTCTTGAGGCTGGCGCAGCTCGCGGAGCGCCAGCTCGAGCGCTTTGACATCCGCACCGACGTCCCCCGCGCGCCCAACGTGGCGGGCCGCTGGCGCGTCCTGAAGCACGGTGGCGGCAGCGGCGGCGGCGCGGGGCTGTCGCTGACGGCGCAGGCGATCGCGGCGGAGCGCGCGGGGCGGCGGCCGCGGCAGGAGGTAGGGCGTGGGCGGCTGGCCTGGGAAGAGTTGACCGCCGCAGCTGGCCCGGGAAGAGTTGACCGCCCGCGGCACCATGCGATCGGCTCTGGGGCCGCAGCGGCAATAGCTCTAAGAAGTGGGCCCTGCTGTGCCTTTCGCGACACACATGCGTGACGCCTCAACTCCGTCGTCCCGGGGCTGCCCGCTTGCAGGCGCCCCCCGAGCCGCCCGCTGTGCTGCTGGAAATCCCCGCGCGCCCCTCCTCCGCCGCCGCCGCGCCCGCCGCGCCCGGCGCGCCGCCCGTCACGGGCCCTCCGCCGCCCGTGGACGACGCGCGGTGGGCGCGGAAGCTGCGGGGGCAGGAGGCGTTTGCAGAGTACATGCGGGAGGTGCGGGCCGTGGCCGTGGCCCCTGGGGAGCGCACGCGGCAGCTGATCTACCAGGTGGGCCCGGCGCTGACGGGTGCAGCGCCATCAGCGGGTGGGGGCGGGGGTTGGGCGCGGGGCTGCCGAGTGCGGTGGGTCAGCGAGCTGTCAAGTATGACGATGCCGTGGGGTCTCAGGGGGGTGCCTTAGATTTGGCAGAATGATCAGGGCGAGATTTCTCGTCGCAAAGACCCTCAGGGTCTGAGTAGGCCGGTCTCAAGGGGTTCTGCCCTGCACAACCTCCGCTGCCATCCTAAACGCTGTCCCCCGTCCCTCATCCGACGCTGGCTCTGCATGGGCCCCTCTCCGCCATCCACCCCAGATCGGCATTGCAGAGGACTGGGTGCAGCTGTCCATGATCCTGGAGGTCTTTGGGGACGAGGCCGGCGCCGTGACCACCGCGGCCCTGTTGAAGCGCCTGGCAGGTGAGTGTGCTTGCGCGCGCGCCCTGCGTGCATGTATTTGGAATTTGCCACCGTATGCAACCGAGTTCAAGAAGTGTGTGAAACGATAAACCTGGATTTGTGTGCCGAAGTAGGTACTCAGACGCTTCCAAAGGTTGACAAACACGCATCACACCTGTGGACATTGCACAATCGCCGCCTCCGCCGCCGCCCAACCAACCCCGCCCGCAGTCCTGTGCACCGCCAAGGCTCTCACCCTCCAGTCCCCCAGCGAGCGGCGCCACTACTCAGAGTTCCTCTCGCACCTCTGCCTGCACGCGCGCGGCCTCGCTGGCGGCTGCGGGCCGGCGCAGGCCGCCTCGGTCCTCTTCGGCATGGCGGCCCTGCAGGTGGATGACGCGGCGCTCTGCCACGCGCTGATGGACGGCGCCGCGCCCCACCTCGCGCGCGGCGCCGCCGCCGCGCGCGCCGACGCCGCAGCGGGCGGCGCGGGGGCTGAGGAGGGCGTGCTGGGCGCGGCGGAGGCGGCGAGCCTGCTGTGGGGGCTGGGGACGCTGGGCCACCGGCCGGCGGATGAGTCGTGGCTCGACGACCTCGCGGCGTGCTGCTTCCCCCTACTGCCAGAGTGAGCGGGCCGCGACCGGGGCGCTGAGGCCGCCTGTTCGCTTCAACGTTCCGTAGCAGCTGCAGTCCTTGTTCTCTTATGTCACAGGTCGCCACGTGCACCCTGCACGCGCGCTCGCCTGCCCTATTCAAGCACTGGCCCGCCCCTCCCCCCCCTTTACCTCCCCTCAGGATGCAGCCCAACCAGCTCTGGGGGGTCCTCTGGGGCTTCGCCCGCCTGCGCCACCTGCCCGATGACGCGTGGATGGCGTCCTGGCTCGCCCGCGCCAGGGAGGCGCTGCCGGACTGCACCGCGGACGCGCTCGGCCACATGGCCTGGTCCCTGGGCGCGCTGCAGTACGTGCCCCCGAAGCTCTGGCTGCGCGCGCTGGCCGGCGCCGCGTCGTTCAAGGCGCGCTCCTTCCTCGCGCCGCAGCTGGCGCAGCTGCTGTCGGGCCTGGCGGCGCTCGGCTACTGCCCGCGGCCGCAGGTCTGCGCGGCGCTCACGGCGCAGCTGCGGCGGCAGCTGCACGTGCTGCGGCCGGCGCAGCTCGCGGCGGTGCTGCACGCGTTTGGCAGCTACGGGGGCAAGTGGAAGCCGGGGAGGCGGTTCCTGTACGACTTCATCACCAATTCAAACGCTAAGGTCCAGAGCTGGACGGGGCAGGAGGCTGCCAACGTCCTGTGGTCGTTCGCGTCCCTCAAGTGAGAGCGCTTGGGGAACGAACGCGGTGCGGGGTGTCATGGGGTGGTGATCGGGGTGTCACCCTGTGTGAGAAGCAACGCCAGCGGTTGCAGTTGCCCTGGTTGCATGGCGTGGGAGCCCCCGCCTGCTGTCCATCCCTGGACACCCCCCACCCCAACCCACCCCTACGATCCCCCGGCCCCCCCTTGACCTCCCTGGCGCACCTCTCCCAACTCACCCAAACGCCTGTGCCTGCAGCTATGTGCCAGAGGAGCCCTACACCTCAGCCGTGGCCGCCCACTTTGCGTCAAAGCTGCCCTCCTGCAGCGCGGACGCGCTCTCCCAGGCCCTCTGGGCCCTCGCGCGCCTGAAGCGCCCCCGGCCCGACGCCGCCTGGCTCGCGGACTGGCTCGCCGCGGCGGAGCCACAGGTGCCACGCCTCTCGCCGCCGGCGCTGGCCGGCGCCGTGTGGGCGCTGGCGGAGCTGGGGGCCGCGCCGGGGGCGGGCTTCATGACGGCGCTCACGCGGCGCGCGAGCGAGGTTCTGGGGTCGGCGACGGCGGCGGAGATGACCACCCTGATCGGGGCGCTGGCCGACCTCAAGTGGCGGCCCAGTGACGACTGGCTGGCGGTGGGTGGGGGGTGTCCATGATGTGTACTGTGGATGGGAACATGAGATGCTGAGCGCTTGCAGCACTCAGTTGCCGAACGTGCACTCATTCCAAGGGTCTCATCCACGATCGCGGCGCACGACAGGTATCCCGTTACACCCCGCTTCCGACCATCCATCTTTGTCCGCCCCTCGTCCTCAGAAACCGCCCCTGCTTCCCCGGCCCGCCAACCCCAGGCCTTCCTGCGCCAGGTGGACGAGCAGCTGCCCGCCTTTGAGAACGAGGACTGGGGGCTGCTGCTCTACGGCCTCGCGTCCATGGGGCAGCCCCTCGCGCCGGCCTTCCTCGGCCACCTGACGGCCACCGCCGGCCGCCGCCTGCACGGACTCAGCGGCGAGGCGCTCGGGCTGTTGGCCTGGGGCCTCGCGCAGTACGGCGGGCCGCTGCCCCTGGTGCTCGACGCCGCCGCCGGCGGGGGCGGCGCTGCGGCGAGCGGGGGCGGCGGCGCGGGCGCCCGTGCGATGCCGAGGTCGCAGGCGGAGGCGGCGGCGCGGCGGCGGCGGGAGCGGTTGAACGCATGGTGGGGCACGTTCTTTGCAGAGTGCGATTTGAAGTGGGAGTCTACGGGCCCGCGGGGTGGGGCGCTGATGCTGGTGGGCCTGGGCACCTTGGAAGAGGCCGGGCAGCTGCCGCTCCCGCCGGGAGAGTGGCAGTCGGGCATGCTGGGCGCGCTGCGCGCCGCGTTCGGCAAGCCCGCCAGCTGGCGGGGGCTGCTGCGCGTGCTGCGGCGGGCGGCGGGCATGGGGCCGGACGAGCCGTTGCCGGGAAGGAGCCTTTGGTTCTGTGGCATGCTGCTCGACTGGGGCCGGCGCTGCGGCCTTGAGCCGCCGCCTCAAGGGATGGGGCGGCTTGTGGCAGATGAGGATGCCTGGGTGGCGGCTGCGGCGGCAGAGGCGGAGGTGGAGGCGGCGGCTGCTGCAGCGGCGGCGGCGGCGAGCGTGCGCGGCCCTAGCACAGGCCACGAGGATGCACAGGCACAGCTGCGCTGGCAGCAGGGGGGCGCCGTGCTGCCTGCAGGGTGACCCATTGTATAATACATTTTACGCGTGGCTCAGAAATTTCTCGTTGCAATGGCGATGGGCAACGGCCCCACAGTGCAAGGCAGCGGGCCAAAAGCACTGGAAGCCAAGACCCGGCGGCGGCTGTGCTCAAAGAAAACCGGAACTGCTGTTCCTGCGTAGCTGGGCCACCAGCGGCGCTAACCAACTTGCTGCCCAACTGCAGCAGGTATGGCAATTGTTGTGGGCCACCTGATGGCCCAGACGCTGCGCAATCGCTAGTCAACTGGGACGGGTAGCCGGCCAGGCTGGTTCTTGTTAGTGATGCGCCATCGCAGCTACTGTATCAAGTGCAGCGCACAATGAGGCACATGCTGCTGCCTCGGTGCTTGTTATGAACATGTGGAGTTGGCTGTACAGCAGGGCGGACGAGGCTGCAGCAGAAGAGCCCTCGATCCCAGAAGAAGTGGCCGAGCAAGGGGAGCCTGCCGCTGCCGAGGAGGCTCAGACCGCGGAGGCCGTAGAGCAACCACCGGAGGACCCCGCACCCGTGAAGGAGCCCGAGCCAGACCCAGAGCCAGTAGCAATGCCGGAGGTGCGTGCAGATCGCGACACCGGCAAGCACGCGCATGAGGTGGCAGTGTGATAGGGCAATGCTTGTCGCGTGATGAGTTTGACAAAATCAGCTGGATTCCCAAGGTGCCCGGGCGGGGGGGACGCTAGATCCCTGAAGCCTCAGGGCTGTGTCCTTGGAAGCCCAGCAGGTATGAAGCAATCGACCTTGAGAAACAAGGGATGTTGCAATACGCTGCCGCGTGGCTGAGGGGCGTCCCTGGCCGCAAGGGCACCCGACGCGGCGCGGCGCCCCGAACAGCGTCGCACGACGACGAAAGCGCTTTACGTGCTTGGCACGGCTCACCCCGCGCATGGTGCGATGCTTGCGTACGCAGCCGACTGCGCAGGAGGTGGAGGCTGCGAAGGCGGAGCTGTTGAGCGAGGTCGTCGAGAAGATTGTCTCAAGCGTGAGCGCTGTGGGCCTGCGCTGGCTTTGTTGGGTCGGGTGGTGTGCAATGGGCGCCGAGCAGGTGGAGGTGTACACGGGAGTGCCACACTGCTCAGTTATAGGGTAGGCAGGAGGCGTTCACGTGTATGACAGAGGGTCAGCAGCGACTCTCGCTGTCATGCAAGCGGAAGATGCGCTGCGCAGCACATGAAGTGGGCCGTCTCCACAGTGGGCGGCCTCACCCGCCTGCCTGGCACGCCGCTAATGCAGCGGCGGCAGCAGCAGCAGCAGCAGCAGCAGCAGCGCGGAGAGAGTGTGAGCTGCGCGGGTTGGCACGCTTTGACTGCCATCTTCCGCCCCCTGCGCCCGCATCACCGCAGATTGGTGATGAGGTGCTCGTGAACGAGGTGCGCCACTGCCCGGGCAAACGCTTTGCCCGGTTCGGAAGGGCGAGCGAGATGGGGCCCAGCTGGCGAGCCTAGGGTCAATACATGTCCCAAGGAGTGGCCGCCCCGCGGGATCCTGAGGCACATTCATCGGCGGGGGCACTGACGGGCGGTGGGCGGCGGTGACAGGGTGGCTGCCCGTCGCCCTGCAGCATGGGGCGTCCCGCTGACG